AGCCCCATATGCTCTCAGTTAAAGGGGTCTCTCTGTTTCGTAGCGGCAGCATTTTCAGGTGGAGTGCAGGAGCTCTGGGTGCGTCTGGAGCCTGCGGTGTCCCTTAGGTACCAGCTAATCAGCTGCCCTTGGATGCGGGGCCCAGCCAGGGAGCACAAGGACTTAATCCAGGCCACACAGTGGGCTCTTTAAGTGCCAGAAGAGCTCTCCAGGTCTCCTGCCTTTCAGAGTTCCTTGTCACCACTGCCCATGTCAGGGCAGAGCAGCAGGGATGGTGACAGGTGTAAGGAATTGCTGGGAACTTTCACTCTGTTTCCTTAATAAACTAGCGAGCACTGTCACCCAGCCTTGTGTCCAGTGGATCCAGCCCCCTGGCAGGGCACACGACATCGTGAGCAGAGGGCAGCTGGATTTAAGCCATTCCTCACCCCCTTTGCACATTGGGCCGTGTAAGAACCAGCCCCTGCCCCTCTGTGGCCTCAGTCTCCCCCTCTGTGAGACCAGGGGGCGAGGTAAATGAGGTAGGACCAGGATCCCACAAGTGGCTTTTGACCTTGTACAGTTGTCAGAGGTGCTCAGGTAGACATGAGGCCTTCGGGAAGCATCTTGGGAGTTTCCAGTTTGGCAGGAGGAAGCAAGAGTCTGGTCTCCCTCCTTTTGCTGTCTCCAGTCGGGGACTCAGCATCTCACAGAGCCCTGCCCTCCCCCAGTGTCCACCCCCAAGCTGGCCGCCGAGTCCGACTTCATCATCGTGGCCTGCTCCTTAACACCTGCAACCAAGGGGCTCTGCAACAAGGACTTCTTCCAGCAGATGAAAACCACGGCTGTGTTTATCAACATAAGCAGGTACGCAGGGGCGGCCCAGGCTCCCTAGAACACGAGCAAGCTGAGAGGGGCCGTCCCTGCTGCTGTGATCCAGGGCTTTCTTCCCCATGGCTTGTCCGTGAGCCCTCGGGCAGAGCTTACCCTGCAGAGACCAACCCGCCAGCTGGCTCCAGCTCAGGAGTACAGTAAAGACCCCAAGAGAGGGCCCAGGCTGCGGGGGGAAGGTTGTCAGAGCAGATCTGGCATGTCGGGTTCCCCGCAGTACCCCGAGCCGTGCTGGTTCAGGGAGTGGAGGCCTGATAGCAGTGGGTTCCCAGGTAACCGTGGGCAGCCCTGTTCTCCTCTACCACAGAGCTGGATGTAACGATCTCAGCAGCCCTTCAGAGCCCTTCAGGCCGCCCATACACCAAGCCTGGGTCTGTCTGGCTGTCTGAGTTAGTGACAGCTTGAACCTTTGTGCTTCTGGAAAGAAAGACCCAAACCCACATTAGAGAAGCAGACCTTCCCTCTGCCACTCCAGTCCCTTTCTAAATGGTGCCCTGCTTAAATCCGTTTGGGGGCAAGTACAGGCCAAGGAAGGGATTTCATGGGGTCCCCCTCAGGTCTCTCCACTCCAGAGGTACTGTAATTATTAATGTTTGGTCACAAGGGGGGTGACCTAGAGGGCGAGTGAGATGCCCAGGAGCGCAGGGCTGGCCCTGACGGCCAACACGGTCCCAGCTTCCGCCCTCCGAGCCCCTGCATGGACCTGGGGCTGTGTGGGGCTGCATGGTTTTCTGCTGCACGAGCCTGACTCCGTGTTCATCATGGAGGCTTGGGCCAGTTGTTTCTTTACTTCCGGGGCCCAGTCACAGGAGAGAGGGCTGCTCGCTCAGACACCATGGGGCGTGTCCCCGTGTTAGACACGTGCCCGGCAGCGTGCTGCTGTGGGAGCTCTCAGCACGTTCTCTTGGGACACACCTGAATGGGGCTTCACATGAATGCAGGTCCCGGGCCCTGTTCCCGCAGTAGCGGGTCAGTGGGCTTGTGGCCCCCGCAGCCTGGGAGTTGGGTGTATTCTCCGTCTTCCAGGGGAACGTGACACTCTTGCCCAAGGTAACACAGCTTCAAGGTGGTAGGGCTGGGGCTCTCAGTGCTACCGCACAGACTCACCATAAAGAAGCATCTTGTCAGACTTACTGCTTTAAAAGTCAGTGCCAAGGGTGCCTGGTCGGCGGGGAAATCCGCCCTATGGGTGGTTCTGCCCAAGAGAAGGCCTGGGTGGAGGGAGCTTTGGGGCCCCCATGGCACTGCTCTCATTCCCAGGGGAGATGTGGTAAACCAGGACGACCTGTACGAGGCCTTGGCTAGTGGGCAGATCGCAGCTGCTGGACTGGACGTGACGACCCCGGAACCACTGCCTACAGACCACCCGCTCCTGACCCTGAAGAACTGTGGTAAGAATGGGGATTTTCTGATGCCAAGTCCCACGGGGCCGCAGGAGTCAGGCGGTGTGGAGGTGATAGGTGCAAAGCTGTGAGCAGTACCAGGCACAGAGGGACACAGCTGGGACCGTATGTGTCTATGGTGAGTGACAATAGCTCACTGTAAACAGGGCAGGAGCCTCCTGAGCCCATGCATCAGGTCTGTGTCCCTGAAGGAGTGACCGGGGGAGGGGAGGTGGCGGGGGTGGATTTGTAAAACGAAGGGCTGGGCTGCATGTCTTCCATCCACAGGTAGTTGTCAGTAAAACCCGGTACCATAAACCGCCACTACCAGCTTCAGGGTGAGAAACTAAAGACGTGATCGTGATTCCGATATTTGGAACTTGTGCCAATTAGTCTGTTGGCTCCAAACCTCCCCTAGTACATTCTGCTTTGGGACGCAGGCCCTGGGACCCTGCACACCTGATTTCTGCTGGGCCTGCCAACTGCGGGGTGGCAGGACTTGGCCTCCCCCGCGCCCTCACATGTCTGTCTGTCTGTGTCCGTGGGCAGCAGTCGCTCCTCCTGGCAGCCAGTGAGTCTAGTTTGCAGGCTTCCCGGCATCAACTTGGCCATCGTGCCTGCTCAGAGGCACTGCTGCAGAGGTCGGAGTTGCAGCTCCCAAGGGACCCTTCCTTCAGTCATCTTGAGGTTTTTTTTCGTTTTTGTTTTTTGTTTTTGTTTTTTTTGTCTTGAGTTTTTTTTTTGTTTTTTTTTTTTTAATTTTTATTTATTTATGATAGTCACAGAGAGAGAGAGAGGCAGAGACACAGGCAGAGGGAGAAGCAGGCTCCATGCACTGGGAGCCCGATGTGGGATCGCCAATCCCGGGTCTCCAGGATCGCGCCCTGGGCCAAAGGCAGGCGCTAAACCGCTGTGCCACCCAGGGATCCCAGTTGTCTTGAGTTTTAACAGTGCTACCCTTTCTTCCTCTGTCCCCCAGCCCAGAGAGGTAGATGTTTCTAGTGGTCGCTGTCTCTGACACCTTAGCACAGTGGTTCTTAAACTTGTGTGTCCATCAGTCACCCGAAGGGGCTGGGCCAGGGGCCTCTGCACCAGTAGGTGTGGGGTGGGACCTGGAACCCCGCACCACTCACCTGCCCCCACACCGAGGCCACTTAGAAGCACTGCCTCGGTATTCGCTTCTCAGCCTCCCCAGTTACTTTGTACCTGGTCAACAGCTCTTTATATTCGGTTCTGTCCAGGTAGCTGGTGTGCTTTGTCTCTAGACTAATCCATCACTGTAGGGTCTGAGCCAGGCCCTGTCCTTTTCATGCATTCTGGGACGGAATCCCACAGAGAAGGTCCTTAGCTGCCTTCCACAGGGAAGGCTCCCTTTATTGTAGCCCTTGGAAACTCGTTGGTCCCCACTGTCCACACCAGGCCGGAAGGAGGAACGCTGGCTGTCATGTCTGGGCTATTGCCCACAGCTGGGAAAACCATCCCATCCCTGCATGCCTGGCAGCTCAGCTCAGTGCCCCAGATACTGCTTTCAAGAGGCATTCTTTGGGGACAGTTGACCTCACTTGTTCTGCAGTGGGGCCAGATGGATCTGGTCTGTCCACCATTTTGACTTGTAGCTATTTGTGTGCACCAGAAGCCCCCGGGACCCCACTTGGAGGGGCCCAGGTGTGGATGATCAGTGCTGAAACTCCTAAGCTGAATTGGCACCTGGTTTTACCATCTGCTCTCTGAAGGGCTGTGTGTAGAGAGGCTCCAAGACCTCTCGTGGGCTCGACATCCTTGTACTTAGGATATGGATCTCTCGCCACCGTTGCATCCGGGTTTCAGTGACCTCAGCCCCACAGGAGTGGAGCACATGACAGTAGGCAAATCAAAGACAGAGGACAGGAAGGCAAATCAAAGAATGCTAAGGCAGGTTCTCTTCATTATTCTTACTGGCAACCCTAGTCAGGAAAACAGGGCCCACTTTGAGGCTTTTGAAACACCCTTCCCCTAAAAAACAAACAAACAAAAAAAACACCCTCACCTCCCTTTTCCTCCCTTTTCCAGTGATCCTGCCCCACATTGGCAGCGCCACCTATGGAACCCGAAACACCATGTCCTTATTGGCAGCTAACAACTTGCTGGCTGGCCTGAGGGGGGAGCCGATGCCCAGTGAACTCAAGCTGTAGCCAGACAGGAGCTGCTGAGGGTCAGGAGGCCCACAGAGCCCTCGGAGTCTGTCAGGGAGCACGGGCTTGATATGGACCCACTGGACGGGAGCCAAGGAAAAAAAGTCTCTGTTCTGATCCTACAGAAAGAAGACTGGTGCTGATACAGGGGCTTGCCGCATTTGTGGTTGGAAATACCTGAGCCAAAAGTATGTGATACTATTAAATATCTTCCTGAGAGACTGTGTGGGCCTGTAACTAGGAGAAGTTAACAGGGGCATCTGGTGACCTGAGGGTTCTGTTCCGTCCCTGGCCCTCACCCCCCAGCATGTGAATTATGAGAACCTGTCCAGACTACCTTACCTCAACCCCTTAACCTATCCCTCACTGAGGATGGGACAGCCATAGCCCAGTGGTGACTGTGGCACTTAAATCTGCTACCTAGACCATCAGATTAAATATACATGGCAAAGAGAACCAGGTAAGGTCACAGTCCTCTTATTGTTTTGGTCAAGAATAATTGGAGGTAGGTGAGTTTCTTAAGTTTTATTTTAAAATCCATTTTAGCACCTTCACACTTGGATCCCTTTGTCCATTCCCCACCCCCCCCACCCCGACCCCTACACCCCAGGCAGATGCCCTTTTTCTGGTGACCACCTCGCTTACTCCTCCCTCTCAAGGCCAAGGCCCTACTCCCGCCCAGAGCATCGGTTTCGGCTCTTCCCCGCAGCCAAGCTGACAGATGGACCGTTCAGCCCAGCAGGCAGCTAAGGGAGCAGCAGAAAGCGCGGATGAGGCAGGCTGGCTAAGAGGAGAACTGGGTGTGTGGAGAACAAAACCTGTCATGTGGCTCAGACAGAGTGCAGGGAGAGCAGAGGGACCGAACTGAGGGAATGACAGTCATCGTGGCTGGCAGCATTAAGGGTTATTTTGTAGGAGGCTTGGGTTTTGTTTTGTTTTTTAAAGTACTGGTCAAAGCAAGGTTAGGAGAGAAAGCCATACTACTTCCGTTTTTTCTTTCAACCTTAAAACCTAAGCAAAGAAAAAGAACACTACTTAATCAGAGGCATGTATGTGTCAAATTTTTTATTTCAAAATCTCAAATTTTGACCAGCATAGCACCACTGACATAGGTGCCCTGATAGAACTTTGCGATTTGATCACCAGAAATGATTATGCCAGGCTATTATTAAGGCTAACCAATCAAAATTCAGGTACCCCAAACCAGTTGTAATTCAGGTAGAAACTACGGCTCCTAGGACCCCTGAGACTGGTTGTACAGGGAACCTCTGAGTTATTTTTAAGTTCTATAGTATGTATGAGGACACTGGCCCAAAAGCTTGCTTCTCGCATATAGAAACCGATTGCCTAAGAGGTAGATGAGAGAGTCCAGATTCTATCTAGCAGTGGAGAGGCAGGGTCCAGCCCCTATATCAGAGGCCCTAACGCAAAGTCCACTTAATGCCCGAGCTGAGGTGAGGGCCCAGCCTCCGGGCACCTCCTCCTCAAGATGGAAGGGAAGGAGAGCTACCACTGCCCTTCCCGTTGCCGCTGCTCCCCGTCCCCGGGCCCAGGCAGGGCCTGTCCTATGCTCCACCTTGACCCACCTGCCTCCCAAGGTTAATCTCCTCACAAGACACTGGTCCCCGCATCAAGGAGAGGGGCACAGGAGAGCCCCCTCACAGCCCGGCAGAATGTGACTGCTAACAACAGCCGCACACACAACTGAATTTCACACGTGACCCCACATCCTCCAACGGTCTCTTTCCCACATCTGTGGAAAAGGAGAGGAGTCACGGAAGTTTCCTTATAAAGTCTGGAAAATATTTATCTGGGAACACCGCTACTACGTTTGGATTTTAAACAATTTAAAACATTCAGTCTTGGGTTGGAGCCACAACGGTAAAAGTTCATGGTCTAGAATTTAAAACTATAGTATATAAAAGGGATAAACCCATGGTGGAGAGGGGTTAACATTATTTTTGGTTAGTTTGCAACAAAAACAGAAATGCAGTCCTGGAAAAGATGCCAGGCGGGGCAGGAGAGTGCGGAGAAGCAAAGCAGAGAACAGGCTTGTGACCGGGTGAAATGCGTCAGGCAGGACTGGCCCCCAAAGCCTGGATGGATGCACCATGAAAGATCCCACAAAACAGGACTCCACATCATTAGAACAAAGACACACACTAGCTCTTTTCTGACTTCCAAACATGGAACTGTAACATATGTAATACAAGTTGGTTAAAATACTGCTAAAACAGCACAAACAGAAACAATACCTTACTTGCCACTCCCTACAGTACATACTCCATTTACAACTTTGTTTTTAAAACCAGGAAAAACTGTTAAAACATCTATCCAGCAGTGATGTTTTCAAAAGTATGTACACCTAACAGTCCGGAGAATGCTTGCTCTGGACCCAGTGTCAGCACCATCAAAGTGCAGTGTCTGTGACTGCAGTTGAGACAAAAATGAAAAATACAGTACTTTCTGAGGCCTAGGACTAGCTCATGATACACTTTAAAGCATTTGTGGCGGGCAGGCATGTCCTCAAGGGCCTTCCTTGCAGACAGGCACAAGATCGCCACTGGTTACACATAAGTGCGTTTTGCATCACTGTACAAGTATATAATATTCCCTTCAGAGGATATAGGAAAATTAAATGCTTCACAGAGTTTTACAAAAATTGCTAAAAAAATTTTTTTGCACTTCAATTTTTAATTTTTAAATGTGCCACTTTTAACACCATCAATTACAAAGTACTTTCTGACTGTATTACTCAACCCTAAGGAAGAACTGGGTTTCGGGGACTGCATCCCTCTCTAAAAGTGTGTGTTTCACTCAGAAACGCAGCAGCAGCACAAGTGCTACACCTATTAATTCTCCACTTACTAGTCACTGGAATTTGCACGCGCCACTGGGGGGGCCCGAAGCCTCAAGCCCAATGGCATTAACCTCCAACCAGAAGAGATGTTCACGTCGGTCCAACAACTGGCTTCGGCGCAATCTCGAGAGGTCGGGGTTAGAGCAAAGTGCTGGGAAGATTGCTGCTCTGCCAGCGCAGGCAGGTAGTCTTTGAATGTTTATACAGGTGGCTGGACTGACTGAACCTCTTGCCACACTTGAGGCAGGCGTAGGGTTTTTCACCTGTGTGAACACGGATGTGCTTCTTGCAATCTGTCAAGGTCAGAAAAGTCTTGCAGCAGATTTTGCAGGCGTACTTGCGAGCCCCCTCTACCACCAAGACGTTGTGCTCCGACAAGGCCTTCTTGCACTTGGACAGGACGTCAGCAGATGCCCTGGTCAACTGCGGAGGGCCAGGCTGCGAAGGATGGCCATTTTCGAATGAGGATGTGGCCGCATTCATCATTAGCTGGGAACTGGCGGAGTTTTCTGGGATCTGAGAGCTCCTGACAGAAGTTACAACCGGCATTTTGGGAGCTATGCGTCGGTAGTATGGGAAGTTACTGGCTCCTCCTCTTGGGGAGCCCATCATTACCCTGGAAAAGGAGGAGTGGAGGCCCAAACCAGACCTGGAGAAGTCCATCCCAAACTGCTCTCCTCCTTGGTAGCCTGACGTCTGCACACATGGCAGGCCCATCACTTCCTGCATAGGCCTGACAAAATGGGAGTCTGCTGGCTCACTGAACGGGTTCTCCACGTGAGAGCCGGGGGCCGAGGAGGGCCCGCCCGCAGGCCCAGCCTCTGGACTCAACAAATATGGGGCCTCGCCCTCCAGCCTACAGTCACTAGTAGTGTTTGGGATATTATCATCATTGTTCTGATTTGCACTGAAGTTACTTCCTCTGCTCTTGTTAAGAAAATTTGAAATACTAAAAGTGGATTTATGTTCTAGGTTGTTTGTGACTTCCAAAATATGGATGTCACCGACCCTGTCAGTGCTAGACTGGGGATCTGAAAAACTCCGATCACTGCTTTCAGGGCTGAGGTCTATCTTCTCAGCACTGACCACAACCCCTTCCACTTCCACAGATTCGCTGCCTTCTGCTTGCGAGGTCACATCACTCACTTCATCCTGAGGCTCAGGAGAGCTCAGAGGCTCAGATTTAACCACCACTCTCATGTGTTCCTTCTCACCAAGGCCAACCTCGGGATTTTCACACTGAAAACCACTTTTCTCAGTTGCAGCTTCCTGCTCAAAACTAGTCTCAACCTGAGTTGCACGGGAGGCCATGGACAACTGGGCCATGTTGCCCGCAGTATTGTCGGACTGGCTGGGCACCTGGGCATCTTCTTGAGCACCAAAAGACTGGTCAAACATGATGGCACCGTCTTCCTGGTTGTCGGTCATTCCGTCGCCCTTAGGGTTATCCACAATTTTCAGGGAATCGGGTGAAAAGAACTCCTCCCGAGAATGAACTCCCGACGGCCCGTTCTCTGGCGTGACATCAGCAATGGCAGACTCGTCCATGGTGGGTCGGAGGCGCTGTCTGGCCCGCTCCTCCGCAGACTGTTTGCGCTTATGAAGGCGTCTCATGGGGAAGGGTGTCCGCTGGTCCAGGGTACTGCGCATCGAAGAACTCATGGGGGCCGGCTGCTCCTCACCACTCTGGCTGGCATTGAGGGCTGAGCTCACGATGCTCAGCCCCAGCTGCTGCAGCATAAAGGAGCGCTGCATGCGGGCACTCTGCTCCTGGACGCGCTCACTGGGGGGTGACATGGGCAGCGTCCTTGTCGTTAAGTAATGTTTACAAGCTTTAACAACAGAGTTCAAATGCAGGTGAGAGGCTGCCAATAAGACATCCATAACATTGCTCTCCCCCAGCATGAGGGTGGAGGTGTACATCATGTCAATCAGTGCAGCAAAGGCCTCCGCTGTCACCACCTCGCTATCCAACTGGATCATGTTCATGGTCTGATCTCCCTCTGCCACTGAGAACAGGGCTCGGAAATGCGTGCTGCATGCTGCCAGTACAGAGCGGTGGGCTTTAAAATGTCTGTTCCCCACTACGATGACACAATCACAGAGCTGCCCGTGAAGTCTCTGGTAGTTCAGCTGCTGGAAGATCTGTTCAAAGTGTCCAGGGAAATCCATGATCCTATAGAAAAAAAAAAAAGAAAGTGTTAAGACTTAGAAAAGCTGATATCAAAGTTGGAGCACAGAGGGTGTGACGAAAAGAGATGTGGACAGCCAAGCTTGGACCTTTTAAAGCTTTTGGTTTTTCTGATGATGGGCACACAGTCTAAAAACCTGTCAAATAGGGATCCCTGGGTGGTGCAGCAGTTTAGCGCCTGCCTTTGGCCCAGGGCTCAATCCTAGCGACCCGGGATCGAATCCCACATTGGGCTCCCGGTGCATGGAGCTTGCTTCTCCCTCTGCCTGTGTCTCTGCCTCTCTCTCTCTCTCTCTGTGTGACTATCATAAATAAATAAAAATTAAAAAAAAAAACTGTCAAAGAGCAAATGCCAATTCAGCTAGCAATCCTGGAACCATGTACACATGTGGGATCAGCCACTGGCTGTTTACAGACTCCACTCTGCATACGACCCACTTTTTTTTTTTAATTTTTATTTATTTATGATAGGCACACAGTGAGAGAGAAAGAGAGGCAGAGACACAGGCAGAGGGAGAAGCAGGCTCCATGCACCGGGAGCCCGACGTGGGATTCGATCCCGGGTCTCCAGGATCGCGCCCTGGGCCAAAGGCAGGCGCTAAACCGCTGCGCCACCCAGGGATCCCTGCATACGACCCACTTTTAACACTCATGTTAGAAAAAATCAATGTGTAAGTGATAAAATAGCTATACCATAGAAGATAATTAGAATTCTGTACTCCTAACAACAGTGAATAAGCTCCATGAAATTCCAATCTTGTGAGGGAGACAAACCAGTATTAGTAGGTAAGATTTCCAGCTACAGATGATGCACACATGCATTTACCCTCACTAAAAGGACACGAAAGTTTTTGGATTTGCTGTTGCTTGAAAAGTAGAATCCCACAAGGAAAAGAACAGGAGAGAAGTATCAGTAGCATTCTGGAAGCTGATGAGCACGTAAATGAGTGCTAACTGATTCAGCATGCCCAGAGTGCTAAATCCTAAACTGGCAACGGCTGAAACCACCTGACTTCCATATAAGCCGCCCACCTACCCAAAAGCTCAGGAACTGGCTGAAGTGCCAGGGGAAGCAGACTAAAAGGGGATGCCAAGACAGGAGGATTGTCTGGAAGTCTATCTAACAAAAAAAAAAAATAATAATATACTGGAAGGTCTAGGAGAGCTCTTATATGCTGAGCTCAAGGACCTACTTGCCCCAAATGGCGACTGTGCTGAGGAAGCAAAGAGAAAGGTTTTTTCTTCTTCTGTTTTTTACTTCTATAGTGACAAGCTAGGTGCTGATTTATCCACCTAACATGACGGTACATAAAGCGGACTGAGATAATTTACAAATAGGAAATCAGACTGCTATTAGAAAAGGAGAAAGATAGCCAGAAAGCCAGCGATACTACCTGAAACAAGAGGCAACAAAGTGATCTGGTCAATATAAGGACAACCCACAAGTGATTTATATTTCATGTTCTTTATAAAAACTATTCGCTTGAAATAAGGCAATGTGTAAAGCAGATTGTATTATCCAAGATGGCTGGCCACATTAAGCTCACCCATCCTTCACGCTCTCTTACAATGTGACATTGACCCTCCTTTCACCAAGAGGTGGGGCCTATGTTCATTCCCCTTGAAGCCAGGCAAATCTGACTGGCAGAAATTACACTCTGCGACTTGGTCATAAAAGGCAATGTAGCTTTCGGGGGTTCTTTCTGGCTTGCTCTTGGAACACAGCCACCGTGCTGTGCGGAAGCCTCCCTGAAGGTTAGCTGACAGCACTCACTCCCAGACACAAGTATGCCTTCAAGGTGACTTCAACCCCATGACAAACCCTAAGAAAGAATCATCTAGCTGAACCCAGTCAACCCCTAGAACTGTTAGAGATAAAATTTTTATTTCAAGCCATTAAGTTTGCAAGTGATTTGTTACATGGCAAGAATTAACTGGAACAATGTGAAACTTGTTAATATCTCCTCACAAATCAACATTCAAATACTATCTCCAAGTGACACTTTTTTTTTTTTTGGTCTGCCTACTATGTCTTTGGGGGAAATCACTTTTCACCCATTCTTAATGTGTGTGGTGTAGATCAGACTGCCTCAAACCTCTGAGTTCCAGGAGTGAACAAAAAATCCAGGGAGACCTGGCCCCATGACTACAGTGGTTGTCAGAGATGGATATGTGACCCAAGCCATGCCAATTAGAATCTGCATTGGGATTCTCTTCACCAGCGGGCAAGTTATAAAGTAGATGTAAGACTAGCACTGATGGGGATCCCTGGGTGGCGCAGCGGTTTAGCGCCTGCCTTTGGCCCAGGGCGCGATCCTGGAGACTCGGGATCGAATCCCACGTCGGGCTCCCGATGCGTGGAGCCTGCTTCTCCCTCTGCCTGTGTCTCTGCCTCTCTCTCTCTCTCTGTGACTATCATAAATAAATAAAAATTAAAAAAAATGTACCCCACCTTTAAAAAAAAAAAAAAAAGACTAGCACTGATGATGGCCATTTTTGCCTGCCTGAGATGGAAGCCAACACAAAAGAAAGCAGTACCCAAAACAATATCCTGATGACATCAAGACCCTGGGACAGCCATGACTGTAAGTGGCATCACCTAGGATTTCCTATTTCATGAGCCAATGAATTCCCCTTTTATCTTAACCTACTTTATGTTGGATCTGTCGCATAGTCAAACATGAGATTTAAAACATAATTTCAGGAGCATCTGGGGGCTCAGTTGGTTAAGTGTCTGCCTTCAGCTCAAGTCATGATCTCAGAGTGTTGGGATCAAGCCATGCATGAGGCTCTCTGCTCATTGGGGAGCCTGCTTCTCCCTTGCCCTTTCCCTCTGCCTGTTGCTCTGCATACTTGTGCTCGTGCTCTCTGTCAAATAAATCTAAAAAAAAAAAAAAAAAAAAAACTTTCAGGAAAATCTAAATAACATGGCTTTCTTTTAACCTTTTTGGATCTAGAAGGAGTAGTTAAAAAAATTCAGTTAGTTTGGGAGATATAAAATTTATTACTCTCAGCTCTGATGGAAGAGTCATGAATCAAGATCATGGTTATTCAAAATTCCCAAGCAACCAGAGCAAACCCAGAGGTCCAATAATATAAAAGCGATAAAAAGAGCTCATGTTGAAAAGATAGTTTTACTGAAAGCTGATATCTAAAGCCTTCAAACCAAGGAAAAAAACTTTAGGTCTCTTTAAAAGATTTCTTTTTTTTTTTTTTTATAATTTTTTTTTAAATTTTTTTTGATTTATTTATTTATGATAGTCACAGAGAGAGAGAGAGAGAGAGAGAGAGAGAGAGAGAGGCAGAGACACAGGCAGAGGGAGAAGCAGGCTCCATGCACCGGGAGCCCGATATGGGATTCGATCCCGGGTCTCCAGGATCGCGCCCTGAGCCAAAGGCAGGCGCCAAACCGCTGCGCCACCCAGGGATCCCTCTTTAAAAGATTTCAAAATATGACAATATGACTCTATATGTTGGAGGAGATATAGCAAGTACTTTACCAATTTATAACTCTTAACAAGTGTACATTACAATATTTGTTATCTGCATGAACAGATTTTTATTAATTTCCAAACTAAATATAATTAAGAAAATACACTTATACCACTGCTCATTACATCAACATGAATAATCAAGAGCTGACTGTTTTCTCAATAGATTTACTTTCCTAATAATGCTTTAGACTAATAAAAAAGTTCATTTGTGTTCTAAGAGAACAAACCAATTAATACCACATTTTAAACTATTTGACTTATCTATTGACCTACCCACATGCTTTTTCAATAATATACTTACTTCATAAGGACAAGTACACCCACACTCAAATATCATCTAACACCATATTGAGTGATTTGCTGCCTGTGTGCCAGGCAGGACCTGCAAAATTGCCACTTGCAGGAAGTGTCTTAACATTCTAAGGAATTCTTAACATTCAATATCCCTAATCTAGGTAAGACCCTAGCAGAAAAAAATAATCAAACAACTTTTCCTCCACTTTTAAAGGTGATACAGACAAAAATAAATGTAAGAGAACAAAACTAGACAAGGTCCCAGACAAGCAGTCTAGGACTTTTGACAGGACTCCAAGTCCTGGAGCCCTAGAACATTCACCCATTGTTCTGATTTGACTAAGTGGAGGGAGGGAATGTTCGGAACTAGGTGGGCACACAGGTGCCCAGTGTTAACCCCAGAACGGGACCTGTCAGCTTGACTAATTTTATAATCTGTTTCTGCTCTGCCAGGGCTGGCTCAGAAACTGGACAGATTAGATCTATTAAAAAGGAAATCTATCACTGACTAAAAAGTGAGCATGACTGGAGAACGCAAGCTAGAGCCAGATCCCTTATCATCTCACCCCACCCTCAACTCTCCCAGCTTTGCTACCTTCTTTTCCAGTTCAAAATTCCTGGGGATTGGCTGACCTAGAACTTCATGATTCAGTTTGAGTAAGAAAAGGTATTAGTGCCCTATTTATTATATTCCTAACTGCAAACTCAAAATGCTGTTTGTACTAAAACAGCTTTTTGAGGGCAGGGACTGCATTTTCTCTCTCCCTCCCAAGATTCCTGATACACAGCTCAGTAAATTATGTGTTGAAAGAGCGTTGACTGTATACAGATGAAATATAATATCATATTACTCAACAGTCATTTTCCTGAGAGTCCCAATTATCTCTAAAATCAGCCAAAACCCAGAAAGTCTCAGAATATCCCAAATAAACATCAAAGCCTCCATATGAAAGATTTCCTCATAGGAAAGTCCCTCAAGATCCCTGGGTGGAGCAGCGGTTTGGCGCCTGCCTTTGGCCCAGGGCGTGATCCTGGAGACCCAGAATCGAATCCCACGTCGGACTCCCGGTGCATGGAGCCTGCTTCTCCCTCGGCCTGTGTCTCTGCCTCTCTCTCTCTGTGTGTGTGTGACTATCATAAATAAATAAAAATTAAAAAAATAAAAAAAAGGAAAGTCCCTCAAGTGTTCACAGTCTTTTAACAAACAAAATTCAAGCTTTTCTAGTTTCCTAACTGAAGATGAGCAACAGTAATTCTAGAACGAGGACAAGAGGCGGCTGCACACTGACAGCTGCAAAAAAGACGACAGCTGACCCACTAAGGGAGAAAAGAGGCCTAGCAACTTGGGAGCCATGTACTGGAGGGGCTATACAACCCTAGAGATTGCAACAGCCCATGAAGGCCCCTGTGTATTTGGTATACAAATCCATTCATATGATGTTTTGAAGTGCTTGCTTCGTTCAAGGTTAAGTGCTATAGAACAGAGATTTATATGGCATAGTCCTGTCACAGGGGCTTAGTGGAAACAAGACATATACAAACAACCATATTATCAAGTGGAAAGCACTAGGTGCCACCTAAGAGATGAAGTGTGCTTGCTGACTCAGAGAAGGCAAAAGGTTATTTCCAGCTTCTTGGTGGCCCTGACAACAAAGCTAGGTACACGTTTCCATTTGGATAAAATGAGATGTAAAATACGTTCCAGGCAGAGGTAAAAGTGGGGAGAGGTTTTAGGTGGGGGAGGCAGTGTATCTTTTTTTTTTTTTAATTTATGATAGTCAGAGAGAGAGAGAGAGAGAGAGAGAGAGAGAGAGAGGCAGAGACATAGGCAGAGGGAGAAGCAGGCTCCATGCACCGGGAGCCCGACGTGGGATTCGATCCCGGGTCTCCAGGATCGCGCCCTGGGCCAAAGGCAGGTGCTAAACCGTTGCGCCACCCAGGGATCCCAGAGGCAGTATATCTATTCTGGCTGGAGAGTAGGTAAGGCTGGAAAGGTAGGTATTGGATAGTGAATGCTCAAAACTGATATTAATGAACACCACACATCATCAGGAAAGTTAACAAAGAGGCATATAATTTTGAACTAAGGACTGTCACCACTTTTCAGGTAACTTTTGTAAAAAAAATATTTTAATTCTATTTTTTAAAGCCTGAGTATGGTATCAGCCAAGGTTCTTGGCTGCAGCAACAGAAACTGTTTGTAGCTAACCGGAGCATAAAAGTAAGCTGCTAAAAAAACCGATGAGAAGGCTGGACAGCTTAGCTTGAACTGGGCAGCAGGAACAATCTGGCCAGAATGCTGTCTCTGTGTGTGCTGGACTCAGCCACTTCTACGAGAATGCCGTCACTACAGGGGACTGAATCTCCCCTTCCCTTCATTATTGTTAGTTCCAATTCTTGAATACGTCTTTTTTAACATGAGATGCAATGTAAAATACATTTGAAGTAATTGTGCTGCATACTAAAATGCAATGTTGTTGCAAGGAAAAATACTTGTGCGATTTCTAGTTGTAAGTTGAGCTAACTGCTTTTTTTTCATGGAACACCATTATAACTTGGAAGGACAATGACAAGCTATGGTTATTCAGACTTGAGTATTTGCCAGACACTTTCGCGAAGATGAATGAAATACGTTTGTCATTTCAAGGAAAACCACTTATAGTATTTGTTGCCTATGATAAAATTTGAGCTTTCAGGTAAAAATTGTAATTTTGGAAAATTTCTATATGTCATTAGGAGTTTCACAGCTTCCCAATGCTCAAACCCACTGAGATCATCGGTGATATTAATGGAATGTGATTTTTTTTTACGTTATAAATGCATCAACATTTGGAAGATCTGCATAACCCAGTGAATCAGTAATGTTCCAAATGACCAGTGTTATAAACTGTGATATTAAAAAATAAGTTATGAGGACGCTTGAGTGGCTCAGCGATTGAGCGTCTGCCTTTGGCTCAGGGCATGATCCCAGAGTTCTGGGATCGAGTCCATCAGGCCCCTTGCATGCATGGAGCCTGCTTCTCCTCCATCTGCCTATGTCTCTGCCTCTCTCTGTCTCTCATGAATAAATAAAATCTTAAAATAAAATAAAAAATAAGTTATGGATTTAAAAAAATGCATTCAAGTGCAAGATACAAACTAATGTATTTCAATGTAACAGAATATGATGCTTGTTGACTTTATGGTTTCAGATTACACACTGCAACTAATCAACCACTTAAGAAAATATCATTTGCTGAGCTCTGTTTATAGTATCAGCAAAGAATATCCAAAGTTATTTGAAAAAGCTACTAAAATACTTTTCCCTTTTCCAAGTACATGTTTGTGTGATGATAGATTTTTCTTGATATATTTTAATCAAGATTATATCACAACAAATCGAATACAAAAGCAGGTATGAGAATCCACCCGACCTCTACAAAATTAAAGAGATTTCCAAAGAAATGTAAATCAGTACCAACCTGAGCATCCTGGTGCCCAGATCTTGGTTTCAAGTATCATTTTCTAACAAAAGGAATGAGTATTCTTTGGAGAAATGGTGGATTCTAGGACTGGGGCAGTAAATACACAAGTTAAGCCTGCAGTATCTTACAGTGTCAGGAAGTAAGGAAATGCTTCAAACAAACAAACAAACTGATAATGAGAGTATGTGAAAGGGACATGGGACCCAACCGGAGAAAGAGTTCCCAAAGGCCAAAATTGGAACAATTTAGCAAAAATATAAATAAGACAGTATTGGATTATACTCCAAATATATAAAATAAATACCCATAGATCCATACATAATTGCTTACATAAATAAATGGAAGAGTCAAATCTCCTAGGCAGAAAAATTCCAAGTAAATTATGTAGATCCTCTACCCTCAAAGACATGGAACATAACTCCCCACTCCTTGATGTGAGCTGTGCATAGTGACTTCCTTCCAGGGTACAGTACAATATGCCTATTATATTACAATAAAGTCAGTACTCCAACACAATTCCTAATCTGTTTGAGCTGTCAGAAAGATAAATCAAAGCTTTTAGCAAACATATGTATAACTAATCAAATGAAAGGTACCCCCCAAATTGGACCTTGAGATGAAAAGCCACTATTCAGTGATGAATATGATGAAAACAACTGTAAGAGCAGCAATTCACTCAGAAACAGCTGGTCTTTTAGCATATGAGAAGTTTACTTCATACTCAGATAAAAGGTGCAGTGTCGTGTTACATTCCAGCCCACCTGCTACACTAACAAAATTTGGCCCCTACTATTCAATGTCCATATTTTGAGAAATGTTAAGTGCAGTAAAAGAGAAATATATGCTTAAACCTGGCAGAGGAGAAAAGTACTTGTTTACCACAAATTTACGTTAAAAAAAATACAAGTTGAAAGCTAACATAGACTCAGTAGCTTAAATTTTTCTTTTCCTTTTCCAAGGAAAAATTGAGGCAGATTCAAGATTCTGTGTCAGCACTACATCAGGCTTTGTCATGTCTCACTGTACATAAGATATTTTTAAGCCTTACCCACACAGAAGAATTCCAATCCACTATAATTCATGCTAAGTACTTTATTTTTTTTTATATTTTAAAAATTTATTATTTATTATTATTTTTTAGGGGAGGGAGGGACAGAGGGGAGAGAGAGAATCTTAAAGCAGGCTCCATGCCCAGTGCAGAGCCCGACCTGGGGCTCGATCTTACAACTCTAAGACAGTGACCTGAGCCGAAATCATGAGCTGGACAATAATTGACCCACCTAGGTGCCCCAATGCTAAGTACTTTAAATATTAAAACGTTTGCGTGCATTTTGTATTAAAGTGATTTTTTAAATTGACTTCAACTTGTGATAGTCTTGCAACAAAGTCTTTTTCAATAGCACTGACCTCTAAATTTAGGAAAACATCCTACTCTAAGATGCTTTTCTGCCCAATCTTAGCATATTCAGCATTTTGTTAGATACCGCAATTAACCAGAATACAGCTTGCCAGTATGCCCCGCTAACTATGTTTTGGCACAATTTTTAGAACAAAAAAGGTAAATCAAAAAACAAGTTTACTTCAAAACTCTAAAAAAGTCCTGGTTCATTTATTCAGCAAAACACAAGGGCCCAGAACAAGTCCCCAACCAGTCTTACCTGGCAGGTCACCAAGTTGGCTGTGGCCGCTAAGCCAATCTTCCCAAGTTTGCTGGAATTTCCAGCAGGAGTTAATAAAGCAGTTAGGGCAGGCCTTCCCTTGGTTTGGGGGCTGTTCTCTAAAATTATTTCTTCTCTCCCCACCACCTCTGCTCTTTTAGTTTGCTGCCAACAACCCTCACCTGGGAAATCGGAAGATTTCAGCAAAGGAAAAGCAAGTTCTCCGGAAGAGGACTAGGCAGGCGGCATCCCTTGTGAATTATCTAAGGCACAAGAGTCTGTACAAGGATAACAAGTCATCAGAGTGTCTAAGGCACTGCATTCTCTTCAACCTCTAAACACCCCAATATAGGGGATGCCTGGGTTGCTCACCGGTTTAGCGCTGCCTTCAGCCCAGCGCCTGATCCTGGAGAACCGGGATCGAGTCCCACGTCGGGCTCCCTGCATGGAGCCTGCTTCTCCCTCTACCTGTGTCTCTCTCTCTCTCATGAATACATAAAATCTTATTTAAAAAAAAAAAACCAATATACATAACTAATATCTTCTACTTAACTACAACTGAAAAGTCTATTAACGTATTTGGGGAAAAGTTTCGTTTCAAATCTTGAAGGCGAACAGTTTCTTCTAGTCGTTCACATTAACCAGAACCGGAGCATATTCCTTAGTAATCAAGACTTTACTGTTTTCCCTAAAAATTTTCCTCCGAATAAATATTCAGGATATTTCTCCTATAAAGAACTAAGCTTCTTACAGCAGCCTCCGCCAGGCCAGAATGCAGACTGACTTTGTAACAGCCCTTTTTTTTTTTTGAAGGGAAAAAAAAACTAACCTTCAAGCCCCCTTGATTGAATGTTAGCATTCCCGTACAAATCTGTCCTCCAAACAACGGGAGGAGGGGGAACGGCCGTCCTTAACCACTGCATCCCCCAAAGCTCCTCTAACACGAAGCCTGGAAAAAAGCGGATATTCAGTAAATGCCCAGCAACAGTTTAGTCCTCAGATAACAAGCTGGGGCATTCCAGAAGACTGGCTCCACCCCTCCAGGGTCAACGGCCGGTCCCCGATTCCAGACCGCTTCGGCCTGGCTCGCGTGAAAGGAAACCTCGACGCTCACAGACCCAGGCGGAGGGCGGCGGAGCCACCCGGCCCCCTCCCGCAGGGCGGCAGACACTCGGCGACCCCGCCAGCCTGTAGGTCCCGGGCCTTGCCCACCCCATGCCGGCCACCAACGTCGCCCGCCCGCGGGTCCGTGGGGGCAAGCGCCCCCGCCCCTCCCGGGCAGACAGCCTGGCGTCGGGACCTGGGGGACGCCTGCGCAGAAGAACCCGCCTCCCACCCGCCTGGCCCCTCGGCTCCGAAGGGTAACAATACCCCTTCAGAAACGCAGGCGGGGGGGCGGGGGGGCACCCGTACGCGTCTGCGCGCGCCCCGACGCCTAGGCGCGAGCCGCCTCGCGCCGCCCGCCCGGCTCTTCTGGAGCCCAACGGTCTCCACGTGAGCGCGCCCGCGCGCTCCACCACCGCGGGTGCCGACAGGGTCGCCTCACCTGAGCCGGGCTCCGCCCCCCTGCTCGCTGGAGGAGGCGGTGACCCTTCTCCGATCCGACCTGACAGTACCGGAGGAGGCGGGAACGTCCAGGCCGGCGTCTCCGCGATGGGATTTCCTCCCTCTTCCGCCTACCCCGCCTCTCGTCCCCCAGCTCCTTCAGTCCGTTCGCCGCCGCACTCTGAGAACACCGCGGCGGCGGCCGCCGACAGTAAACGGAAGTGACGTCCGCGAGCGAGCCTACTCCGCTCCATTCTTCCTCCCACCGGCCGTGCTGCAGCCAATGAGAAGGGGAGGGGGCGGGTCCGGGCCCGGAGGACAGCCAATCGGCGTGCGGAATCCGGAGGAATTTACTCGGCCCCCCGCAACACCGGCCAATCCACGGCTCCGGGAGCTCGCTGTGTTTACTACCGACCGAATCCGTGAGCTCTGTGGCCAATCACCGTTTGCCTTACAACACGTAAAACTGTTATCAAACGCCTTCTAAGGCGGGATTTATCCCTAAGCGGCTCTAGGTTTGGACTGCGGGGAAGAGACTGTGGGCTGCAGCCAATGAAGAGCCGTTACGGTTGAGGTAAGCGGGTTTTCCGCCTAATTGTGCCAATCGCAGCGTCGGCTGCCCGAGGTCCGCGCGAGCCGCGAGGCCAGTCCGCGGGGGAGCGGGTCCCACCATTGGCCGGACCCGAAGGATTACCCCACCCTCGCGGCGTCTGGCCCTTGCGTGGCCGCCCGCTCCTCCCTTGAAGCCAGTGCCCTCTGCGGAGCCCCTACCCGCAGTGGGCGGGAGGTTGGGCCCCTCCCCTCTCGTAGACTTCGGGAAAAATAACGTAGTCCTTGAATCAGGTCAAAACCCAGGCTAAAAACGCGGAACCAAAAATACCGTCGTCCGACAGCACTTGGGTGCGATGCCGCCCTAAGTCGCTGAGCCGGCGGGTCCCGGCGGCTGCATCTCCCGGCGCGGGCGCGGGAGGAGTCCGGCGGGGCTGCCGGCGCCGGCGGCGACTCGCCCTGCGCTCCGCCCTCCGATACGGGTCAGGTACACCTGCCAGCTCCAGAACCGCCGTGGAAGGCCCGCGCACTTACGTGGGACGCCGCCAGAGCTGGCTCCGGGGCGGCTGCCGGGCTCCCAGGTGGCTCCCGTTCTCCCTGGGGCACGCTCGGACGCAGAGCCCGAGAGCCTCCCGGGGGCGCCGGGCCCTGGGCGGGGAGGAAGCCCTCCTGCCCCCGGGGAAGAGAAGCGGGCGGGTAAGGGGCCTGCCGGCGGAGCTGTCCGGGAGCTGTGCGAGCCTCGGGAGACCAAGGCGGGCTGGGGATCGCCGGGGAGTCTTCTCGGGGTGAGGTGGGGGTAAGAGGGAGACTTTAAAAAAATGGAACACCCCATTTCTTCAGAACGAAATGCCTGGATATCGTTACAGCTGATCCATCCATTCCGACGTTACAGGTTGGAAAAGCTGCCCTTTGGATTTATGTCTCTAAAGACTCAATGAAGTCGGCTGGCAAATTCTTTTCATTAAGATTGCCTGGCATTTCTTTTTTTTTTTTTTTTAAGATTTTATCTATTTACTCATGAGACAGAGAGAGAGAGAGAGAGAGGCAGAGGCACAGGCAGAGGGAGAAGCAGGCTCCATGCAGGGAGCCCGACGTGGGACTCGATCCCTAGTTCCCAGGTTCACACCCTGGGCTGAAGGCGGCGCTAAACCGCTGAGCCACCTGGGCGGCCCTGCCTGGCATTTCATAGCCCTTACACGCATTTTACCGCAGATTGGGCAGTAAAACTGTATATATGGAATTCTAATGATAACCTAGGCAATGTGAGAGGTCCTTTCATAGGCATGATCCTTCCAAAAATGCTGTGAGCTAGATATCTCGGATTTACAAACTGCAAAGAGTTACAAAGACCTATGTATTTATTACTTAGGAGAGCGTGAAAAGGCCCCCTCCTGTGATGTTGGTGGGACTATCATTGATGCTCTCGCCCTGAAGATAACTTGGTAGTATCTCTCAAAATTTAAAATATGCGTTCATTCCCTTTTAGCTAGCAATTCTTTCTAGAAATGTATTCTGAAATACACAAGTGTGGAAATATATACAAGGGGTTTTTGATCACATCTTTGTTAGTAGAAGAAAAAAGGAAACAATCTGTGCACCTACAGAGGATTACAAAAAACTGATATGTATATATTACTGCTCCTTCATCTCTAATGATCCCAATACATATAAAACAAAATTAATAAAAACCTGCATGCGAAGGTACACATAAAAGTTTGTAAAGATTATGGCTAAATACCAAAGGATACAAACTCTTCACAGTAGTTAACCTCAGTGAAGGGGGAGGTGATAAGGAAATGTTTAAGAGTTTAATTTTTAGTTCTTATATATTTCTGTATTAAAGTTTTTTTAAGTTTATTTTGACAGAGTGAGAGAGCACAACCGGGGGGAGCAGCAGATAGAGAGGGAGAAACAGGTTCCCCAGTGAGCAGGGAGCTGAACACAGGGCCTAATCTCAGGACCCCTGAGATCATGACCTGAGCCAAAGGCAGAGGCTTAACTGACTGAGTCACCCAGGCACTCCGATTAATTTTTTTTTAAGTAGGCTCCATGCTAGGCTCAAACTCACAATCCTGAGATCAAGATCTGAGCTGAAATCAGGAGTCAGATGCTTAACCGACTGAGCCACCCAGGTGCCCTGATTTAAATTAATTTTTATAATGAGCTTTATTATTTTAATAATATTATTATTTTAATAGTATTTGTAGGAATTTTAGATTGCTCTCATTTTTTAATCATTGACAATATTCCTCCTAAATTAAGATATAAATTTTCCAATAAAAGTATCAATAAGATTCTTTTTTTTAAATTATTTAGTTATTCACAAGAGACACAGAGAGAGAGAGAGGCAGAGGGAGAAGCAGGTTCCCTGCAGGGAGCCTGATATGGAACTTGATCCCAGGATCACGACCTGAGCCAAAGGCAGACGCTCAACCACTGAGCCACCGAGGCATCCCAATAAGATTCTTTTAAAACTAGATATTTGATTGTAAGACTCATAAGGGAAGATAATATTGCAAGATTAGTCAGGGAAATTCTGGAAAAAATTTACAAGGCAGTCATAGCCCTAACAATTATAAATGTATTTCACAATACTTTATTGTGTAAAAAAAAAAAAAAAAAAAAAACTTGGAGAGAGGATTCTGAGAAGATGACAGAGAAGGAAGCACCAAGAATCTGTCTCCTCACCCAGACAATAATTACACTTGCAGACTCTGTCTGATGTAACTATTTTGAAACTCTGGAGCCTATTGAAGGCTTGCAACCTCTAGGGGAAGGTTTGGATGATAAATTGCAGTAAATTTTAGTCAGTTTTAGCTCTTAGCCCAGAAGCTACCCATCCCTCACTCCTCGGCCATGTGGCAGGCTGGTTCCTGGAGCACTAGTTCCTGGAGCTCCTTGCACCAGCTTGTGAGAGCCACAATGGGCAAAAAAGGACTCTGTCCTCCAAATATTTGGGATCACTGATTGCTGCTTCTGATCACAGAGGTGCGGATGAAGAGACCTGGTTCTTGCATCATAACCTCCCTCCCCCATTGTTGCAAGACTTTTCCCCTCCAGGTGAAGTTATTTCCAGGGGATTTGAAGGAAAGCGGACAGAATTAGAGGGAGAAACAGTTCTATAATAATAGTTGGAGATTATAGTATCCCATTCTTAACAAGGATATGACAACCAGACAGAAGGAAACCACGTCTATTAGACGTCTAAACCACGTTTAATAGACATATCCAGAACACACTACCGAACAAAAACAGCACACGTTCTTCTCAAGTGTACCTGTGACATTTTCTGGAGACCCGGGGTTGAGTGCCACGTCAGGCGCCCTGCGTGGAGCCTGCTTCTCCCTCTGCCTGTGTCTCTGTCTCTGTGTCTGTGTCTCTCATGAGTAAATAAATAAAATCCTTAAAAAATAAATAAAAGATAAATATTATACAGAGTATCTCCTCTGGCTGCAAGGGGATGATATTAGAAATCAGTAACAGAAATAAAACTGGAAAATGTAAAATATTTGTGGGAATTAAACAACATACTCTTAAATAACCAATGGATCATATTAGAAATTCCAAAGGAAATTAGAAAATACTTAGAGGTGGGTGCCTGGGTAGTTCCATTGGTTAAGTGTCTGGCTCATTATTTTGGTTCAGGTCATCATCTTGGGATCATGGGATTGAGTCCTGTGTTGGGCCCAGCACAGAGTCTGCTTGGCATTCTCTCTCTCCTTTTCCCTCTGCCCTTCCCCCTGCTCATGTGCCTGCAAATAAATAAGTAAGTAAGTAAGTAAATAAATAAATAAATAAAATCTTAAGGGAAAAACAAAAAGAGGAGCACCTTCGTGGCCCAGTCAGTTAAGCATCTGCCCTTGGCTCAGGTCATGATCCCAAGGTCCTGGGATGGAGCCCCTTGTCAAGCACCCTGCTCAGTGGGGAGTCTGTTCTCCCTCTCCCTCCACCCCTCCTGCTTGTGCTCTCTTACTCTTAAAAAAATAAATAAAATCTTTAAAAAAAATACTAGGATGAATGAAACTGAAAACATAACAGGCCAAATCCTTTGGGACACAGCAAAAAAAAAAAAATGCTTAAGAGGGAAATTTATAGCTAAAAATGCTTACATTGAAAACGAGAGGGATGCCTGGGTGTCTCAGTGGTTAAGCGTCTGCTTTTGGCTCAGGGCATGATCTTGGAGTCCTGGGATCGAGTCCTACATCAGGTTCCCTACATGAAGCTTGCTTCTCCCTCTGCCTATATCTCAGCACCTCTCTCTCTCTCTCTCTGTCTCCCACAAATAAATAAATAAAATCTTAAAAAAAAAAAGAAAAAGAAAAAGAAAAATGAGAGATTTCAGAGGCACTTGGGTGGATCAGTCAGTTAAGTATCTCACTCTTGATTTTGGCTCAGGTCATGATCTCAGGGTTGTGAAATTGAGCCCTGCATCAGGCTCTGTGCTGAATGTGGAGCCTGCTTCACATCCTCTCTTCCCTCTTCCCCTGCCCTCCCTTTCTAAAATATAAAAAAGTAAAAAACCAAGAAAGATTTCAAATTAATAAGCTTTACTACTTAAGAACTAGTAAAAAAAAAAAAAGGAAACTCAGAACTGCAGAAGGAAAAAGGTAATAAAGGTAAATGAAATAGAGAATAGAAAAACAA